CAGTGAAGTCTTTATTGTGTTTAATTCATCATAAAGTTCTTCTGCACTGTCGTTACAGCACATAAAATGCTTCAACGTTTCCAGCACACTTTGTGCCATTAATTTTATTGGAATATCTATAACAGAATTAGCTCAGAACTCTGAATCCGATACACTAAAGTATGTGAAGCAAAACTAATTTTTTCTGTTATATCTTCATGAGTCGGGAAATCCGAGGTACAAAGTTCAAAGCAGACAGTGTAGCCCATTTTTCAAAATTGTATGTTATAAACTCATCAGTCTCTTGAAAATTTATATTTCTAACCTTTAAAAAAATCAGTCAGTGGGAGATTGTCCTTTTCCTCCCACACACGCCTTCGCCAAATCGTGCATTTTTGAAACAATTTATAATTTCCCATGCTCTGGATCTTTAATTAATTTTTTTTGTCTTTGATTACTAAAGTGTATAAAATGGGTTTTGGCAGAAAAACAGGGAACAGCACATGCAACGACGATAAAATACATTTCAAGAAAAATTCGCTTTGTCGAAACGAGACGCCACAAAAATAGTGCGAGGTGTCAAGGAATTCGAGCTTTAGCAATAAACGCTACACAAGTATTCTTCAAGTTATCGAGGTCTATTTGTATGAATGATTTCATATTAAATGAATTCCTTGACTGTTTAACCAATTGCCACAAAATATGAAATTAAATGAATGATCTAGGTAACTAATAACTGATTGTTGTAAATAATTTTGCGTTGTTAACAAAAAAAAACTTCGACAAGTTCAACGTGGCGGTATTTCATTTTTACAGAACGGAAAAAACCGCTGCTGTATTTTAATTTAAAAATGTACTTTTAATAATGGTAAAACAATACAACAAGCTATAGAGTGGTGGGCCTTTGTATTGCTCATTGTTGCGATCTCAGAAACCTCAAGAGTTGAAAAGTGGAGCTAAAGTAGCGTTAAACGAAAGTGCTTCTAATTTCATTTAAATTTAATTACTTGCAGCATTCGACAGACTATTAGATCTAACCTATTACTAACATGTTAACTTCACACTTATACTGACAAATATTTTTGTTCCTACATCATTATAATATATTATAAGTATATGTTGTAAAAACTATGGGGCGAGCAACGTAATTTGTAATCGAATCATCCTCGGATTTGAATCCCTATATTACCCAGTAAACACAGTTACGTTGTAGCGATGTTAATGCCACTTAACTCTGTCTACGATCTTGTTAGCTGTTACATCCCAAACTGCGTACATTTGCTTTCCCTGTGCTATGTAATGTAATCAACAGTGACCCATGCTTGTAACATACTGGTGACATCCACATCGTTTCAGACTAGAGACGTGCTCGCGGTACATCATCATAACGTTGTGTTAGTATGTCGCTAGATTCTCTATATTTTTATGTATCTGTTACGTTTTATTTTAAACGCCAATATAACGTATTAAATGGACATAGACGTTACGTATATATCGCAACATCGTAAACAAATGACTCTCAGTATATTTTATTAACATGATCTATGCGATATGAATAGGCATTTCAGAAAGTCTAGTTACCATTTAGGGATATGGATATGGAGAGTAAAATTTAGAGCTTACAGTAAATTATTATTTTATTCAATGTTTGAAAAAATATAATATGTAATAAGTAATAAAATACAAAAATTAATATAAATTCATAATATAAATAAATATATATATATATATATGATTTCCTAATTCGAAAATAATACAATATAATTTACACTTAAAAAAAGACACAGAAACTATAAACTGTCGTTGTTTTTTCTTTCTTCAGGCGTTGACTAGAATGTCGTAGCCACTCTGAGCAGCGTTGTTCTACTTCTTTTTCTATTGCGGAATGGGTCTTCATTGTAATTTCTTCAAAAATAAAAATTGTAATAATTATATTTATTGCAAAAAAAATACCTTTCATAATATTCATTGTTTCTGTCCCAACTATTTTGGAATTTTCCTACCGAACAAACAAGCTACAGCAAATTCGCTGAATTTTTTTTTTTAATATACGCTCCACATTGTTCTTTTTCCCATTACCACCTATCTGGGACAATAGCAGTTCCTGAAATAAGAAAAGAAGAAAATATTTTTATGTGTATATATCGAGTAACTCTGAAATAAGTTCGGAAAATAAAACCACAAGATCACGAAGTAGAGAAAATTTTAAGTAATTTCTTTTATTTAGTCCTAATTCAGGGGCAAAATATCAAGATCCACACCTCATTCAGTGTCATTTGTTTTCATCTAAGCAACACACAGCAAAAATAAAGAAAAAATTTAGTCACAATGGAAACTGAATAAATCATTGCCGCATCATTTACATTTAACAAGTTGTTCCGTATTTGTTTCTTGAAACTGGAGCAGCAATTTAATTACGTTGAATCCGTGTGACAATTAAAGGATTTTTTTTCCGAATCTATTTGGAAGTCACCGCGTATGTATAACATACAGGGTGCTTCACTATAAGACTTTTCTGCAACCCACTATGTATGTAACGTGTTAAGCGAAATGTGTCATGTTTAGTAGGTTCCTAAAAAGTGTTATAGTATTACAGGCATCTACCTGTATATAATATCCAAAATTATGTTATATGTAAGTACATATAAATATATTTAGTCCAGTCATTTTAGCATAAAAAAGGGATCAACCTCGGAATGAGAGACAATAAGCTGAATTTTTGTATACGCCTTAATTTTGGCGTTCTAAAAGTTGTCTCAATTATTCAAGGTCAAAGGTCAAGAAAAACAGTTTTTTGCAATTATCTCAGTTTCTATTGCTCCAATGATGTTAACAATTATTATCATAATTGTAGAGCACAAAATTTGGGACAAATTTTATTTGAAATATTTTTTCATGCGCTCAATCATTTTGGAGATAGAGGACAGTGAGCGCGCAGCGCTCGTCCATACTTACTGTAATGCAATCAACCGTGAATATCTGTCAATACTACCTTGAATTTTGAATAATTTGTATTATTAATCAATTAATACATTGTATTTAATAACATTTTACATATTTTCAATATATTCATAGAATAATACTTAACTATTTTGTGTAATTAAAAACTCATTTAATGAAATATTTATTGTATATCTCAATTTATTTGTATCTTTAAAATGTGCAAGTTTTTAAATACTTATTTTCTTATCATGATTATAACGGGAAGGTCTGGAAACAACAATTCAGGGCACCGAAGATGACGACGATGAAACAGAAATTCCCGAACGTCCAGAAGATGACGGTGAAGAAGAAGAAAATTGATACTTTTGTTCTTTAAATTATTAAAAATTTATAGATTTTCACTGCAAGATGAATCGTAAGAAATGTCCAGCTGCTGAATAAAGATAAAATTAAAATATATGAACTCGTTTTACTTCCTTAAAATTTACTTTGAAAAAAAAATTAATATAACTTTAAGATATATAATAATCTAACCTAAGATATACCTACAATAAATATGTCATTTAAAGAGTTTTTAATTACACAAAGTAGGTAAGTATCATTAAATAAATGTATTGCAAATATGCAAAATGTTATTAAATGCAATGTATTAACTGATAAATAATACAAATTTTTCAAAATTCAAGGTAGTATTCACAGATATTTTCACGGTTGATTGCATTACAGTATGTATGGATGAACGCTGCGCGCCCACTGCCCGCTATCTCAAAAACGATTAAGTGTATCAAAAAATGTTTCAAATAAAATTTGTTCCAAATTTGTGCTCTACAATTATGATAATAGGTGTTAACATCATTAGAGCAATAGAAACCGAGATAATCGCAAAATAATGTTTTTCTTGACCTTTGACCTTGAATAACTTACGACGCAGACACGAGATTTTATGAGACTTTTGAGACAACTTTTAGAACGCTAAAATGAAGGTATATACGAAAATTCAGCTTATTATCTCTCATTTCGAGGTTGATCGCTAATTTGACTGGACTAATTGTATTTTTTTAACTTACAAAGAAGCCTGCTTGTTGTAGTAGGCAGAGATAATCTTCTAATTCCTCAAAATTTGTTTACCTGTGGTCTTGGCGGCATATCTTCTATTACTGTTTTCTTTTTGATTTGTCACATTTGATGACGTTTTCATATTGGAGATTTGTTCACTCGTTTCCTTTAGAATTTCTTTTGTTTCGCACATATTTTTTGTACTTGTTTCAAGTCTAGAGTAAAATTATGTTCATTAGCACCTAGTTCATAAAAAATTGCAGTAACATACCTTTGCAACATGTTATGGCAAAGCGCCTCACTTTCAAAAACAATCACCGTAAGTTCTTCAAAATCAGCGGGAGTATCTTCAGTGATTAATGGTGGTATTTCCAGCTTGTCTGAAAAAACTGTTGTTGTTATTTACGTACAGTTATCAAAAACAACAGAAGCATGTAAAAATTAAAATGATTACTTCATTAGAATTATATTAACTTACCTAGTGTAAATTTAATCCACACTGAATGGCACAATTTTCACAAAACTGCATTAAAAATGAAGTGATTTACGGATTCACGAGAAAGGTTCGGTGCATAGAATACCCTCCCTTAGAACACGGTCTCTAATACTTGCGTTTTGTTCACTAAGAGCGCCTCTAGCACCAGGCTTAGGAACTAAAAGCGGCGCAAAATTTGAAAGTGAATTTTGCTGGTGAATTTTTTTATAAAGTGAAGGGGAAAACATTGTTTGTGAATTTTTATATGCTAGTTTCAAAACGCCTTAATACGTTTTGAGACTAACATACAAAAACACACAAACAGTTTAAAAAAATGATACATGTAAGATAGAATACATAGTATATTGAAACGTAAAAGTGATTTATAAATGAAAATATTACTATATAACAATAACAGTTCTTACGAAAATATATAGTATAATATATAAATATATATTTATAATATAATATTAGAAAAATAGCAAAAGCCAACGAAAAGCGCATAATACAATAACATTTCAGGTATGAAATGTTTAAAATTGATTTATAAATGAAAATACTGCAATATAACAACAATTTGCTAAAAATGACAGTGTGAATAAAGTGTTCTCTAATAACTTACATTAGTTACAATATATTAAAATAAGAAAAGAAACAGAATATGGACAAGACATTTTTAAAATACAAACAACCAGTAGAAATGCAAACTGCCTTTGCACTTTTCATTCATACCGTCAGAAATATCACAATTAAACCCAGCACACTACTTTCTTCCGATATGAACAAAACTAAGCTGATGTATAGCCTGCGAAATGCAAAATTATACAAACGTTCTCTTTCTTTTTTTAAAACGTAAATATAATTGTTGCATTTGTCTTTCCAGTGAAGTTGATTTGTTAGGCTCTTCCTTACCAAATACGAAATTGCTGAGTTTTTTCATGTATCTAAAGATATACACTCTTATAAATAGATGAAAAAGTTGAGCTTTCAGTTCTTCGGTATGTAAGCACTCCCGAAAATCAAAATCAACTGTAATTCGCAGGTGGCTTATTAACCTTTGAGAAAGAGAAGGATGATAAATTGCAGACGGAACCAAAATGACGAGATGATTATAAATCTTAATTAGAGTTTTAATCATCTCGACATTCGCGTATTGCAACCGTCTTTTTTCACCATCATACTCCTTCTGCACCACCAGACCATGATATTGAATGTTTGGGACGCCATCATGTATCAAGTTAAATCGACAGATTTCACAGTCAAGTGGTTTTGGCATGTGTTTAACTAGAAATCCGCCAATATAACCTATAACATTTTGGTCATAAAAATTATCCTCAGACACAGTATCAGGAACTGGTGGCGGCTTCCACTGATCTTCGATACACTTACGATTTATATCAAGACTAAGAAACTCTCTAATTGAGACCACAAATGACTCGTCATCTTGCTCACAATTAGATCCACGAGAATGATAGGAGCAAAAATTCTTCATCATTAGTGATTTATAAAATGGTACGAATGCTTTGCAAGACGGATTTGTATATCGTACTCCATATTGTCTTAATTGACCAAAAAAATTTTCTAAAGGATCTTGATTAAAAGCTCTTGCTGGGAAAGAGTTATAACCAAGTTTCTTTAGAGTTTCCTTGATAAGCATAAAACCATTTAAAGTACGATACCACCCTTGCAAAACTGGAGGTTTTGCTCGATCTCCAGATTTACGTGGTTCAAATCTCATATTGCTGAACATGCGTTTCCCTTCCAGCCAAAAACTATGATGAAGAGTGTCATCTCCTACCATTTGACGTAATTTCTTACCACCACAGTCTCCAAATCCTCCATTAACGCTGTCAAAGACAGAATCCATGAACAAAAACAAATTGCAAGTGTATCGAGCATCAGGTGGTATGCTTCCCCCTAATGCCCCGGTGGAACAGAGATATATGAACTTAGCAACAGTTGAGCTAAAGACCTGTGAAGCATAACGAACTTTCATTTTTTTGCCTCTTAAGTTAGGCTTCACATGGTCTATGGTGATCTTTGTCATCACTCTCAGGGTGTCACCCTCCGTATGATCCAAATCATATGCCTTTTCAAAAAAACTCCAAGAAGCTCTTCTCTCTACACCTGATTTTTCTACATAAAGCAGATCTTTGGTGAGAAGATTGTTTCGCATACTTTTTAGAAGATGAGGAGGATCAAAGAGAGGGATAACTTCGTGATCACCAATTCTTATCACATTCTCTTCAACTTCCTCTTCATTTCCCAAAATAGCACGTCGTTTGGTTTCTTGTAAAAGCATATTGATTGCGGCACTGTTTGTAGTACCTTGATCACAAACTGAAGCAATGATGTTTAAGCCGACCGCTGTTGCTTCTTTCACAATCTCTTTATAAAAACGGACAATGTTTGCAGCAGACATAGAGTTTTTGCAAAAAGCAAAAGCAACAGGCTGCTTCCACCTTTTGAAAATTCCTCTTAGCATAAATACGCAAACATGGTCTGCAATTTTTTCCGACCTTGTTGTACCGTCATCTTCAAAACCCACAACTCTGTCCTCACAAGGCAAGTAGTCGAGGTGAGGCTGAATGGACATTTCATCAAAGATGAGAGTACATAAATTGTACTTACTGTCCATTCTGCGACATACTTGCTTTCTGAGAACTTCGAAAATGGGTTTGTTGATACCCGGTTCTATTGGAACTTTATTTAGGGTTGCCCTCAGAGTGTCAATAGACGGCAGCGTAAACATTCTTGACAGAAGTTTATACGTTTTTGGGCCATGTTTCCAAATGGCAATGGCATCTACCTTCTCCTCAAACGTAAAACTTCTGCCTTTCGGTTTACGATTTACATTTCTAATCTGGCTGTTAAAAAATCTCTGCTGTAGGGGAGACAACCCTTCCACGAGATGAACCAGTTGTCGATCTCGCAGAAGTTGTTTAACAGAATGAAGTGCGCTTTTGCGCTTTTGTGCCTGCCTCTGCAGTCTCCCCACTTGCCTTTGCAGGCGTTTCGCCTCCACGTACAGCAGGGTTTCATTGCTGCTAAAATTGACGGTGGTCCCTTTGATCCCCAGCCGATCTAATATTTTTCCTGTAATGTACACGAATATGAATTAATTTCATCATTTTTAGTCTGTATATCAAAATACATACGTGGAGTCTTGGTCATGGACTTGGAAGTATCCACCGACTGCCTGGCAGGTACAAAGTTTCCAGCAAAATCTAAAAATGGGCAATATAAATTAATTATAAGTTAACTTAATAGTATACGAGTTGTGAAAAGACTTTTCTATGGAGGCGCGTATAATATATTTTGTTTTAATGAATTTGAGGTTGCTATGCAGTAAAAGAATTATTACTGTACGGTTTGAAGGCGGATGCGAACTAATTTCATCATTTTTACTATAAAAATTAATAAAACACATACCTAAAATGTTTTATTTTATTTTTATTATATTTATTATTGGTAAATTTACCAATGTAAATATAATAAAATATTTTTTTGTCAATACAAAAACATTACAATCTCAAGTCGAAACAAAAAGGTGTTTCACCAGCCGAAGTTACGCCACTGCTTTTTTACCTGCTTTGACAGGTGTTGGCGATTAATGAACATATGACATATACGCACAGAAAAGCGAAGTGACGCCACGCTGCGGTACAAAAATGTTGTTTTATAAACAAATGATGAAGTTTTGCAATCCACCACAGTTTTATATTTTATCATTTGTAAAACATGGGGTCAAACATTACAGTTTCTTACCTATTTTTGGAATATTTTGTAACCCCGAAGGCCCAGCACCAGGGAGCTCATTGATCCCATCCTCTTCTGTAAGGTAAGTAATATTATTTTCTCTCGATTTATTTAATTTTTTTAGCACTACAATACCTGCTCCAAAATTCAGTTGTCGCACTGGAACGCCAGTACTCCATGCACTTCTACCCCCGAGAGTCTCCAGTTTAGTAGCTAAACCTATAAAGTGGAAAATAGTTAGTGCTATACATACTGAAATAGTTGCAATGGTTACTTACTTTGAGAACTTGGAGTTCGTCTCGTACGTGGAGTTAAATTTGCTATTGCATGAAAGTACGGGCATTCTTTTTCTGGAGTGAGGAAAGTGAGATCAATGGTTTGTGGCCCTACATTGGACACGTCGATCTGATCTGCTTCGAGTGATGAACGCAGTTCGTTATCATCTATAAGTAAAGATATCGTAATATTTGTTTTCTAGCAACTTTCAATTTGTTTACCTCGAGGAGGCAAAATGGTTGGTACTGCAGATCGACGCAGCCTTTGTGTTCCTGGTACATAATCCTCGGGTTGAAAATGCTGGAAACAAATGTACCCCCTTCGGTGAATTTGGTCGTGGGTCAAAACCACGAATTTTGGGTTATTCGCGGCTTTAACCCACGCGAGAAACCGATCAAGGCCCCGATTTGGGTGTGGAAACCTAAAGATGGGTTTCAATCTCGCAGCACATTCGTGTACAGAACATGTATGACTGCCTTGCATTTTTTTCTACAAAAATTGATAATAATAATAATATTGTAAAATCAAACTTATGTACTCACATTTGTAAATTAGACACTGAAATTCAATAAAATAAATTCACAAGTCGTTTCAAACACAAATCACGCAGAAAACCGAGAAAAACGTAAATGAACTGAGTGATTGAATGGTGATTCATTTGGGGTGAAAGTGATGACAAAGGGTAGAAGAGGAGGGGGTGTAAACAAATTTTAAAATTTTGAAAATCTGCGCGAATCAGCTTTTACAGATATCTTTTTATTCCGACCTCTGGCGGCGGGCTCTGAACCACGCAGTGAGAGGATAAGGTGAAGGCTATCTCATTTCAGGACCCCTGGTCTGAAGTGCAATAACCATAAATACGGAAAAAAGGGATCGTCCGACTCATAGACAAACCAAACCAACAAAGGTCCGACTGCACCCCCCAAAACATCTGGTGGATAGTAAATGCAGAAGTTGAGCGTTATTTTTTCACTAGATAAAATAAATTTAATAAAATCAAAATTAACCACTCTCTAGTTTTTTTGCTACCCATCATCGCTTTATAAACGTCGTTATAAAATCAAAATTCGACGAATGAACTCTTCAAAACCTTGTCCCGTTTCAGGGACAATGGGCAAAGAATTTTTATGGCTTTTTTTGTGTCGTTGGGTTTTCCCTATATTAACCCCGATTTGATCGGAACTGTACCGATTTCAAATTTCGTCCAATAAATGTTCCGATTAAAACATTCGTTCCGTGAATGTTCCGATTTCTATAAATCTGATAAGAATAAAGATAAATCCTCGGATAAATCACTAATTTTCATGAATAGTAATTTTATTTTGTGAAAAATTGGGAACAAAACTTGTATCGATACGGTTGTCAGCACTGTTTTAAATGTCACCAGATGTCAGTACTGTTAGTATATTACAACTAAAAATTTTCAAAGCAGTTATATATCAGATTACGATGGAAATGGAAACTAATGTTCCGGTTTCGGACTTTTGAAATCTGGTCACCTTACAGATGTTCTATTTATAATTTGCCAAGCAGGTACTTACAAAATAACATTTCAAGTGAACAAGTTTACAGAAATAATTCTTAGAAATTATTACAATGAAAAAACTTGTCTTTGGTATATTTCTAATAAAGCCGTTGTATTTTTCGCTCTGAATATAATTATTAATTAAGCATTACGAACTCACTGACGAAGGTCACTTTTTAAAGAATACGACGACCCACATCTAATTGACCATACAATCTTTAACAATAAATTTCAAATAATACCTTAGTGGTTTTTTTAAATTTTGATAAGGTGTTGTAAAACTATTTCTGTTTCTGTCTTCATTCCAGGTGCTGTATTTACTTGGGCAAAAGATGCCGTACGTCGGATTTTAGGGGCGGAAACGTATACCTGCTTAAATACTGTAAATACAGTGGTGTTGAACGAAGACAACAACAGAAACATACCCGATGTATTGGCAGGGCCTAAATTAAGGTGCACTTCTACACATTTTGTGCCGTTCAAAAATGCATTTGTGCAGCTGGAAATTGCAATTTGTGCAGTAACTTTTTCACATTATTAATATTTTTACTTCCCGAGCGTAAGTTACTATTACTGACGCCGGTTCATCCCTTCACCGAAAAGAATCGAGGAATTTTTATGATTTTATTTGTCAGTTGGAACCTCAAGAAACCCCAGATGTGCTATTTTCGCTCTGTCACGTACCTGCTTAACAATAACACTTGTCTCAGTGATTTCGAAAAATTGCACAACAAAAATTTTATCAGTCGTACTTGCGGAGTCGTACTGCCTTCACAGCTCTTATCACTTTGGTTTTTTCTTGCATTGGAATGCGCTGTTTCTAATTTTCTTTTGTGCTATGACAAGTATTATTTACATTATTATTGGCGTCATCACAAATTTTTTATTGATCCAATTAAGAACGTGTCACCCCATTTTCTTAAAAATATGAGAATACGCAAGTCTTTATTTAAAAATGACAAAATAAGAATTATAATAATAAAATTCAGAACATTTTTTTCGATTGTGGCTTAATTAATTATTTTAGTCTTCTGTTTTGGGAAGACAACACACAAACTTTTGTGATGTACCTTTAAATAGTGATATATGTATGTATTAATCGTGTCGGTATTATGCCTTTTTTAGATTTTTGTTTATATCTTTACAATATATTTATTTTGAATTTGCGTTTTTCTATTATTTATTTATTATTAATGTTGTAGGTATTCTCACAAAATCGACAAAATCATACTGCACTTTAATGGGGGGGAGGGGGGAGAGGTGTAAAAGTACTATTAAGAACACAAGGGGGATTATTGCGATTGTGCAGTTGGAAATTTTCCGTAATTTAGGCGCAGAGGTATTGGTTATTATTAGAGAGCGGATTTTATGAAATTTGCGTATCCGTTATTTTTTGCATATAAGTCTTGATATTTAATATGTGAACGAATCATGCTAATTAAAAATGAATGCAGCTATAAAAGATTGCATATTTGCATATATTTGCCTTCTGCTGCATATTTCACATACCGGGTGCATATTTTGCATTTTTATCAATTTTTGTGCTACTTTGAAAAAAAAAAAATGCCATTCGATCGGCATTTTTCTAGAAAAACGAAACTTCATGAATCGTATTGCAAATATTGTCCTGAGATTCAAATAACTGGGTTTGGGTTTTATGGTAGTTCGGAGGAACCACTGGGTGTTAAGCCATCCTTCCAGGTAAATTCGGGTCCTACTTACTTTTGGAAATACCGTTTTATGGTGGTCGAAGGGACGTTATCCTATTATTTTTCATTGTGAGTTTGCATTTAAGTATTTAAAGCGATAGAGATGTGTGTCAATATGTAGATAACTCAAATTAATTTATGAATTAAACCTTTTCCTGAATATTCTTCAAGAAGGAATTGTGTTTTGTTGTGCCTGCTCTAATCCGATAAGTATTTTTACATCTGTGGACGCAGTACGCAGTTTTTTTATTTACAAATACATACTTTAGAATCACCGGAAAAATTTTTGTTAGAATATTTCGAAAAATATTTAAAAATAAATTGTTACCAAAATAGTAATTAAATAGTCGATTACTACTATTTTTTAATTCGTTCTGTTTACCTATATTTATTTTTGAGTATAAAATGTCATTTATTTGTCAGTGAGATCTAATTAAACACTTTGCAATGTGATTTATGTATTTTTTGTAATAAAAGTTAAGGTGTTTTTGCAATTTGTAAATAAATTTAGTTCGGTTATTACGCTTTTTTTAATTTTTGAGCATGTGCAACTGCATATCTCTGCATATATTAAGAAAGTTATTGCATATTTGCATAAATTTGATGCATGTCATATGATCATATTTCCCAAAATTTTGCTGCATATTTTCCGCCCTCTAGTTATTATACATACACTCTATTACCGACATTAAAAAAAGTCTACACTATTTCGTCATATCTGCTGCTTTATTATCAGTTTTCAGTTAGTTACATATTGGATATCAAATTAAGTGAATTTTTTGAATAAATAATAATTTAAAGATCAACCACAAAAATACTCAATTATAATTATACATTACCAGTTTATTTTAGAGCCCAAGATTACATTGGAAAAATCTAAACTTTTGAAAATTTAATGTTAAACAGATATACCTATAACTGAGTGCGAAAGTCAATACACAAAACTCGATGATCAATTATTGTTTTGTATTCAAATTATTATTTATTTTCCTTACGATCAAAGTGAAGAAATTATTTAATTCATTTTTATTTAAGAACGATATCGCTGACCTTGAAATAGATTGGTTTTTAATTTCGATTTTTTTCTTTTTGTTGCTTTTGTTGCCGATCAACATATTTTGCATTAGAATTAATAAAATAATGAAATATATCATTTTATTTTTCGAGGTCATTTCAAAATTCTGTATATGTATAATTGTTCCTTTTTGGCAGTGACGCATAGGCAGAGGTTAAAAAATAATGTCTCATTACTAGTCTTAATTCGTATTACCTGTTAGATGGGACATTTTTTAATTCTGATCATAAACTATGTGCATTAAGTCTCTTGTTCTGTTTTATAAAGCGCAGGTCGTTATGCACATATAAAAATAAAATTATAAATAAATATAATTACAGGAAATATAATATGAAAAAAAAAATTAAGAGCAACTCACTATTGGCGTCATCTCGCTTGTGCAAGATTTAAGACAGGGAAGAAATTTCTTTTTTTAAGACTCAGCATCTTTTGTTATGAATATACTATTTACTTGCAACACAAACGTAAATAATAAATATAAAATAGAGCTATATAATACTCGATATGTATGTTTTTAAATGTTTTTTGCTGTTGCCCTGTCAGAAACGTTAATTTTCGATTTAACATGCCATTTTGTAAAATCAACTGAAAAACACTTTGCATAATTAACTAATAACATTCCGAAGCATGTATATATATATATTAATCAGATATCTAGTAACTACAGTTAACATTACTTATTGGTTACATAACCGTAGTACTCCATTGTGATGTTACAAGGCTTACCTGCCAACTATATCGCAGCGACACAATAATGAGATATCTAGTAAATGCAGTTAACATTAGGTATTAGTTACATAACAGGAGTACCACAGTGTGATGTTTAAATGCTTATATGCAAGCTATATCGCTGCGACATAATAATGAGATATCTAGTAAATGTAGTCAACATTACGTGTTTGTTACATAGCATGAGTACTCCATTGTGATGTTATATAGCTTACGTTCCAGGTATATCGTTAAGACATAATCATGCGATGTACTTATTGTTCTTTTGTGAGTACGTACCTGACACGTTAACATCACAACTGTGTTTACTGGGTATGTCTTCCCTGGAATCATACATTTAACGCTCTCATAGAAAATTTTTAAATACACAAATTTTAATTGCCGATAATTTTGATTGAAAAAGACAAAAACTAAAATCCTTACGAACTGATTTTTTACTCCAAATATATAATAATACTATGATCTAATTTACATTTAATTATAATATGTATAAAAACCCTCACATGTTACTGGAACTTTCACAATTGCTGCAGATGAAACTACCTTCGTAATGAATGAAGTTTCATCGTCCACAGCAACCGAAATATCAGTCGCAACTGAAAAGAAGCAAAAATTCTTCGTATGAATAGGTACACCAATTACGAAAATAACAAACAGCAACGGTTTGAGATTGTCCCCTTGTGAAGCGACAAAAAGTTCGATAAAGCTCGATAAATATTTACCATTTGCAAACTCACTTCAGTCTATATTGATATTACAAATTGCAAACACTTATCGAGTCGCATCGAACTTCATGAATTTAAGAAAATGACCAAGCTGGTTTCGTACAGTAGGCAGATAATGCAGGAAATTATTGTACTTACTACGGTCTTGATTTTTCATGGGTCACAGAATATAAAAATGCAGACCCCTTTCGATCTGTGTGTTTCTTTACTGGAAGTAAGTATTTTAAAAAGGTCAATTTATTCGAAACGAAATAAAATCTACATCAGAAAAGTTTACAAATTCTGTTAATTTTAAATATGCCGCTTATTTAAATGAGTGTCGCACAGCGTATAAACTAAATTTAACGAACTTAGCTTATCATTTAGTGGCATCTTTGAGTGAGTTGTCGAAAGTTAAGGTAATATATTCAAGGTTCATGAATTATCAATCAAGTATCATCCTAAATTCAAATTTATTTAGTGTACATGAAAACAATAGAGCATTCATAATTTTTGCATTTTATGTATTGTCTAGTTTAGAATTTATCACGTAGAACACCAAATATCAAAATTGTTTTAAGCGGAAACTTACATTTTATTTTTTATTGATATAATAAATAAATTATTTTACACGAGACGGTAGCCATAAATTGTTATAGTGATATATTACTAACATAAATTCAACAAATTTAAAAACTTATTTTTAATCCAGACTTTCTTTACACTTATATTAAAATCATTGAAAAAAAAACTAAATACGTTTTGCTTCATTAAACGCTATAGAAATAATTATTTTTATATGCAACTCTTTTTGAAAACAGAATCTGATCACTTGAAAAGTGTTGTAAGTACTTCAGAGTCCTTCTGTGCTGATAAATTAATAATGAAATTGGCAATCAAAGTATTATTAGATTTAAAGAAAACATGCATTCCTAGTTCTTGTGTGTTTTCACGATCGTTATTGTTTTTATCTATAAATAGACATCATTAAATTGTAAGTATATTTATCAAACCATTTTAGTATTGTGTTGTTTGACTGCTTACGTAGTGGAAAAAATAATGTAAAAAAAATCAATCGATAAATTGCAATGTACTTACGCACATAAGGTGTACACGCACCTGTCGTAGAACAAACATCATTAACTACTCCATAGCTTCGCTTCTTTATTTTCACTCACTGCTTTCTTTTATTGAACACTGTATTGATATTTATGACAACAGTCAGCTGCCATCACCTCAACCAATCAACACGTTTGTAAGGCGTGCTCATCCTAAAATTGACAACTGAGAACAGACATAAGCTACCAATAATTCAGAATTGCCAGCACAAGAATTTGCTTGATACTTGTAATAGTCACCCAGTATATATTTTTTATATTTATCGGAAAATCGTCGGAAAAATTAAGGTATGAAACTTTTTTTTTTTCTTGAAAAATTCATCCATTTTAGATAGTTGGGGTAGTTCATTAGGAAACATTTTAGATAAAATGTTATAGACTTTTTTATTCCACCTGAAATACCTATTTTGTTAGAGTATCACTGTAATAATACTAGGCACTTGTTCTGTTATCTTGAAGAAGAGCGAACATTAGTCACAAACTTTCTCTTGAAAGACACATTGTTTCTGTTGCAGTTTAGTTTCGCCGTTGGAAGATGGGATCAGTCCCACAGTTTGTTGTGAAAAATTAAAACCATCTTGCTTCAGAATTTATGACAGTTCTAGACTTGCTCTTGGTTGTCACACGGCAAAAATTGCGATGCTCGTCTCGCTCAAACTTTACACTTTCCAAGGTAGATTTGAATAATTTATTTAACTTTATCTACACTAATGCCACAAAGTATAAATTTTTTCTGAGTTACTGAGGTTCACTAAAAATAATTTTATAAATTGATTTATTGAAAAAGTCGCAGTTGACTGGTTCATCAAAAGTTTCCTCCAGTTGCTTAAGAACTTAACAATGTTTTCAAACAAACAAAACTACGTAGAATACGCCAATATGGCTTTTCGGGATGCTTAAACAAAGAAATTAATTAGAATTTAGCTCTTTTATCAAATTTTATAAACTGTAAACAAAATTCTTTCTTCTTATCTAATGAAATGTATAATTTTATAATGTTTCAGTTTTTGTAGTTTATCTCTTCTTGTTGGCATTTCGGTTTAATTTCTGCTGCCAAAAACTTATATAACCAATGTAGTCGTAGAAATACCCCTAGTCAAAAACACTTAGAATGTCAGATTTTTTAGTAACTTTGCGTAGGTGATTTCTTATATGTTACGAATATGTTGCTATGGATAAATCTAAATTTCAAATTCGCAATTATTGAAAGGTAGAGTAGGTACTGAATAAGGAAAATCAATAAGAAAAATTTTTTGTAAATTGAATTTTTAAGTTGGGAGACTCATTAATTAGTAGCGTACGTCCTCAACGTTATTTTGAGTGAATACAGTACACCATCAAAAACTATTATATGCTACTATTATGTTAAACCCATCAACTAAAAAAATGGTAAATTTCGACTTTTCTCAATTAATTGAACTTCATTAAAAACACGAAAAACGGAAGCTTTAATAAGAAAAAGTTTCAAGTTGTAACATATCGACATCTAAATCTTCAAGGCTACTGTTGTCATCCTCACTTCCACTCTCACTATCATCCGAATTATTAACATTAATTATAATTTCATTCTGTTCTGAAATATCTTAAAATTTTTTCATTTTCCAAAGCACAATTTATTATTTTATCAGTATGTTTAACGTAATTGTTCCAATGCACAGCCGGAACTTGATCAGTCACATTTTGCCAAGTTGCACAAACATCATTAGGGGAAGAGCTGGTTCTTGGAATGAACCTATCATAATTTCTTTTAACTTCCGACCATGCCACTTCAAGAGCGTTGAAATGACAGTAGTAAAGTGGCAGCCTCAATACCCAACGCCCATTGTTTGTTAGCCAATATTCCATTTGGTCTTTTATGGCCTTGGATGGATAATCAATCCCATTTTTATTTAAATATGCTATGATTTTTGTCTTTGTCCAACTTTTTTGAGGAATATCTTCCTACAAATAAAGTAAAGTTTTATTACAATAAATGAATACCTATGAAGACTAAATTGACACCTCAAGTCTACTATGATAACTTGCATTATCTATCACAATAAGACAAGGTTACTGCAAACTTGGTATCAACTGTTCTTCGAACCATTTTTCAAAATTTTCCTGGTTCATATGATCATGATAGTCTCCAGATTTGCTATTAGCTTTAAAAATTAAAAAAGCTCCTTCAATAAAACCGTTTTTATTTCCACGTGAACCACCCTTCTCCAGTTTTTGCAATAGCAGGATTTACTGAACCGTGCTGCCATGTCTTTTTGCATAATATTACCCTCACTAAATACCCATATTTCATCAAAAAAAAGAGGTTCATATAAATTGTTTCCTTTGTGTTGGTGGTATTCACGTAAAAATTTTGTTCTTTTTAATTTAACCCAAGGCCGTTCCGTCAAAAATAATCTGTTACTATTTTTTTTTTTATTTCCTTATCACGTTGGTTAACGATTTAGGACCAACGTTAATATCGGGAATGTCTTCCATTACATGATCGTGCAGCAACTTAATAGTAATGTATTCTTTAGAAACAACTATTTTATAGATAATCTCCCGTATTGACATTAAATCTGTGAACAGAGTTCACTTTTATCTTTATGTGACTAATTCTAGAAGACATATTTTCCTAGTATTCAAAGTCACTTAAACCTGGACTTTTTTGTAGCCTCTAGACAGATTTTTCCGAAATTTTCAACATTTCTGCGGCCAGTTCTGTCTTCCTTTTTTTCTTAAATTTCAAAACATCTTGGTTTATATCAAGATACTCTAACATATTTAAAATTAAAATTTAAAACAGAAAAAGTTTGACTTGGGGTAATTCCACGACTTCATAACACAAAAGATCAGTATATTCCAGATTTTATATAACAGACAATATCTATTGAAAAAGTGGTAGAAGGTTATTTCGATAGGACTTTCCTCGCCCCTTAAGTACAAATCAACAAATTCCACTTTTTTGAAAAATAAAAAAAAATTGATTTTGCGGACTTTTATTTGTGATAACCTCTGTACATTAAAATAAATATAGATAAGTAATACCAGTAACAGTGTAAGAAACTAAATGATATTCTATAAATAAATGTGTTTTGACTACCTATATTTTTTATTACCACCATATTTTTTAGAATTGTAGAACTTGTTTTCCTGGATTCTTAAAAGTATCATACTTTAATTATCCATACTCCGCCGCTGTCTATGATCCGAAAGTATTTTTTATTACGAAAATACGCTTGTTTATATTTAGTCTAGAGTGTACTTCTTTTTAGGAAACGGTGCCTCATTAGTTGAGAAATTGATGAGGTAAGGCATAAATGCTCCAATATCTAAATATAGAAAAAATTATAAATGAAGTTTGTAATTTTTCTATGGCGCAAAATCTAATTTGTAAGATAAATCCGGATTCGAATACAATTTCCGAAAATTTAGATGTCTAAAGGAAAAATTCCAAGCGGATTGGAACACCACAAATGTAGAAGTATGTTATGCATAACAATTTAATCATTTTAAACTAGAATATTTTGAGATGTCGTCACTAAGTTCTTGGTGAGGCTGATTAGCCAAATTTAGTTCGCGTTTTACCATCCACATTATATTTCTAAATACTTATTTACATACAAAATTCGGCTACAATCGGTTTAGTAGTTCGGAGATTAAATGTCTAATAAAAATTGACACGAGACACCACTTTTTTGATCCCAGGGGTCATGAAACATCGAGATAACGTGAAAGTAGCAAGTCACCCGATGGATTCAATTGCAATGTATTTCCTTCGTTTATTATTTTAAAGAATGCATCATATCTGGACACACAGGTTCGGTAAAAAAAATGTATCGTGTGTTATAATTCTGTCTAATATTTCCTCAGGTGCACTAATAATGGAACTTAAAAGAGAATATGAGTTAAATTGAATGAAGACACATGACATTAAGGACGTCTACGGCGCAGTTATCGTCACAATTCCAAATACTTAGAATTATTAAAATCGGGCAATTTTACAGTTAGTGATGATTTTTATAACATTTACAAAAAATATGCAAACTTTTACAGAATTTCTGTATGGTTCCTATAGTAATATAAAATTTTCCTGGAAATTTTTATTCCCGTACTAACCAATTGAGATTAATTAAGTGAAATCAAGAGCTGCATTTTTTATTGTCCATCATATTACAGAAATATTATTTGTTAAATATTTCTCATGCATTCCACTAATGTAATTAAGCCCTCGTGTTCCACTCGGACTAATTAATACATTATTGAAATGCATTCGAAAAAATTTTCGGAAACAACCATTCCACTTAGAAGATTATAAGTGATAATTTCGTAACTAATCTAAATATTTTGATTAAATTCTATCTAAACTGATATTAACATGAGATGGGTAACTGGCGTTTTGCAACATATGTATTCAATATGCACGCTGTTATTGTGTAACAGCAGCTTTGAAGCACCTACATAAATATTTGCGATGTTTACGTATTCTATATAACCGATGGTAGAAGCAAATATTTGTAAAATAAAGTTAATTACTTTAGATGCCGAAAATATTTACACAACACAATTAGGTATTCAGTGATCTGCATATATCCTACAAAAAAGTCTGCTTAAATTTTTTAAAGTTAAATAAAAATGTGAACAGAATTATCCTACATTTACTAATGGCAGATTTCAAGGCCTTACAAGAGTAAATCCGCAGTGCTTCAAAGCGTCTGTCATTTCGCAAAGGGAGCTTTCATCTCTAGAGTAGAAATACAAATAATGTTGAAAATATAAACTGTTTCATGTTAGTAAAGATTATGATTTTAATTTTATAGAGTACCGAGAAACAACTCTGCAGTGTGCTTTATACACATACTAGCCAAGTTTAAAATGTGCGATTTTATTTGTACACTGCTCCTTTCAAATACGTCGCAGTTAATCTATGCAAGTATCACGAATCATAAAATTTAATCTAAAAATTGTGGAAAATGTGAGTTCTAAATCTCCTAAAACCCCATTAATTACAATGTTTATCTACCATCACGTAACCTACAAAGTTTTTTTTACAGTGACAAGGTTTCCGTGAAATTAAACGGATTGTTATCGTTAAGAAAAAAGTTAATGGAAATTGGTGAGATTAGCCAAGATTACATGGAGCCCATCATGTTATTATTTTGAATGAACAGTCGAACCTTTTTTAATCAATCCATTTATGGAATGAAATTTAAAGAACATGAATTAATTTCCTCCAACTCTGACATTTAATCAATAATCAACAGTCCCTAGTCACAATAATAAATAACAAATTCAGGCATCAATCAAAAAGGTCTGAAGTTTAGAGCCAAAGATATTGATTGAAAGGCCGATTGATAGCCAAAAACCAGACATCAGAATGTTTTGCTTGAAAGTTCACGGTTTGTAAATTACGACAGCAGATGTGATGATTACAATGGGTAATGGAATAATGCAGATCTAAACGAACGCAAAATTCAAGAGCTTTGCTGTAGTAAAACTTGGATTGCATTCGTTGATTCGTGGAATCACCTTACTTAGACCGACCTACATTTCTCGATTCCTCTAAAGAAAATCATCTGGTTGATGTACTTGGTAACGCGGAAAATGTTGAAGAGTACTCAATTCCATTTCTTTGCAAGATACGCTCGTATCAAACCGAAAGCCACATTCTTAGATAGCAAGGTGAATAGCAAGTAACATTGCCTTTTTGTAAATAACAAAGCATACCAAACATTTTAAGGGAATTTAAATTTCCTGAAACCCTATTCCATTTTCTTTAAAATATTTATTTCCAGTGCAGTTTTAAGAAATTTCATTAGGTCAGCTTTTGACAAATTAATTAAATAAGTCACGATTAATTTAAGACTGAAATAAAGTTTCAGGTTTCTTCGCCATAATTTACATTCATGATAACAGCTGTTATCAGGTTGCGTATATTTACGATTTTGGCTGCTTAACGAGGTTAATCTACAAAATAAAAAGTTCGTGTTTCACAAATGTTCTGTATTTAGTTTACAAACCAAATATTGCTAATTAACAGTCGAAATTCTGAATTTTAAAAACAAAATAATTAACGATAGTTGATTTACATCATTATTTTACATTTATACAGAATATTAATATATTTAGAGTATAAACTCTATTAAACCTTATTTTTAATTTCCCTGTTCCACGCTGGACAATCTAGTATTTTCCCTGCTTCAGAAAAACAACGTAAAATTAAGCCCCAGATGCATGCGGAATTGAACATGAAAAATGAGGTGACAAATTAACAAACATTTTCGTCTCTCTGTATGTTGATATAAATTGAATAAACGAAAATCCCTCTTCATAGGTAATAATAACAATGACGCGTAAAACCCAACAATAGGGAGTTTTATTTGCCCAATTAAAAATATAGGTGTTTTCAAGCAAACTCTTCACAAATTCTGTCGAAATCTCAACTCATGCATACTCAAAGTACATGTACAATGCTCGGAGGTGATATTTTGCTACTGCAATAACCAAACATGTTTAAAAGGTATTCTCGTAAATTCCGAATCAATTTTTTTACTTGACTTGGACAATTTTTTTTGTTTTATTTAAAATAAAAATGTTCGCTATTTTTGGTCATAAATATATTTTATTAATTAATTTAATCATAAACTCCATATTATAAACATAAAGTTCACTTTAAGATTAAACGTTCAAAATGACTTTAAACATCTATACGTTTCGAACATACAGGGTTATGATAAAGTAATGCACAAAATTCATAAAAAGCGCAGCATTTATTTTTGAAATACATGCAAAAACATGTCAAGCTTTTTATTTTACTCTCCATCTTTTGACATATCTCAAAAAAAAATTACGTCAAATTTGTAAAAGTTATGACGTCATCAATTATTTTTTTTCAATAGGAACGTATAATTTTGATTGCATTATTTAATAAAACTATTTTTCTGCATATGAAAATGTAGTTCGATGTAGGGGTTGCATAACAAAAAATTGAGAAAATTAATAACAGAACAATACATTGGAGTAAAAATGTATGCTATAGGAATTGTTCAAACTGTTGCCCATTCACTATCTGACACAAACCCAGAAGATGGTAGACCTGATTGATGAAATTTTCAGTACTATGGGGACTTGTACGAGTCATTTCATGAAGAATTCGTGCTTTAAAGGCGTCTGAATTATTGGGTCTGTTCATGTAAACACGACTTCTTAAATATCCCCCTAAAAAAAATCAAGCGCTGTCAGATCCGGAGACCTAGGTGGCCATTATATTGGTCCACGCCTTCCAATCCACCTTCTATCAAATTAATTATCCAAAAAAACCCGTACATTAACGCCACAATGTGCTGGTGCCCCATCCTGTTGGAACCAAATCCTGCGATCAAAATTTTTTGGATTATCTGGATCACGAAACGTCGCAATTAAATCCGGAAGCACTGCGGTTACAAGATGATCTAAATATCGATCTACTAATTGTGCTTGTAGCGCTTGGAGTTCGAGTAAGAATATAAGCAGTTTTCATTATAGGTTCTAGCTAAATCTTTAATCAAGTATGTAGTTCCAAGAAAAGTCAATCCAAATTTCAGTTTTTATTAAACACTGTACAAACGTTTATGAATATTTATGATTATTTATAACAAAATTACTACGGTTAGAAACATGAACATACCATCACACGCAAACTATGGTACTGATATCATTTAAAACTAGTTTTCCATATTCTGAGCTTGAATACTTTTTTCTCCAAAAATTTCTGCGAAACAACATTTTATGTACCCTTCTGCAACACTATTGCTTTTCCAACCCCTGCGTTGTTTAAGTGCTAATAAAGAGATACAAGACCTCCAGTATATTCCTATGAATGAGAAAAGTCTCAAAAAAGTTACCATAGTCTTCGGCATATTTACAGACATATGAATCCTAACCAACTGTTTGGTGCATTTTTTACTATGGAATGAGACGAAAAACAGACCATGGTCAATACTGGTGGGACACAATGCAATATATTTTCGAACAAGTTGTACCATATTTGGTCCAGTAGTACGAGTATTTCCGGATGTGACTTTCGCTTTTGTACTCGGTAACAGTACTCGATAGACTTGGCCTTCGTTAATTACATTTTCTGTAAGTAAACCCTTTAATTTTTTTTTCCTACATACTCCACTTATTCCTATGAGCATCCCCACCTAAAGCCAAAATTGTTGATTTTAAAAAATTATTAAATTTAGCCTTTCTACCTTTATCAACAAAAATTTTTCATGTTCTGCTTCTGATAAAAATTTTGTGATATCTTGCTGATATTAATTGTTTGTTTGTTTTTCAAACGGTACTTTGCTATTTGCTTGCAAAACAATTCCGGAAATTAATTTTCTTCTTTTAAGAAGTCATTTTACTGCAGCAGATAATATTTTCTACGTGATTCGGATCGTAACGCATCATTATGGTACACGTCGTGTTATCAAATTCGGCTAATGCCTCGTCCGATAATAAGCACGACTAGTACCATAATCACTAATGTTACGATCCTTGTGACATGAATAACTATTAATCATTCTTCGATAATCATTAAATCAATATTAGCACCTTCCAGAATTAAAAAGATTGGTCTAAAGTCATTTAGACAGGACACAAATAAACAAATAAAAAATATCGACAAGGATTAGATCGAACTAACGCGAGCAGAGCTGAAGTTCTCTAAGAAATCCACGCTTCGACTGGCAGTCGTTATAGAAGTAACTCAATTACCAGCGCACAAAAATGTTTATATAGTAATTGTGTTCAAAATCAAGGCAGACTCATAAACCACAAATATAGATGTATATTATGTTATAAAATGTAAATATGAGTTACTACGAAAAAAAGAAGTTTACGTCAGTAAATTGTTGGTGGAGATGGTAAGATAAATTTTTGTTAGCTCTATTAAAAAAAATCATAAAATCAAATTTTTTAAGTTTTCGAAAAATCTAGATATTGTACTTCAGGGGCGAGGAACAATAATCAGAGAGAGGAAAAAATAGGTAATAAAATCCCTTCAGTTAACTTATTAACTATTAAAAAGAATTATGTTTTTTTAATAATAATAATAATGCACAAAAAGGTAGTACCACTTTAACCATCTTTAAGTTAATGTAATGTAATGAGTGGATGCTAGTACAATTCTAAGGCCTGTCGAACTGATCACTGTTGTTGAAGAATGTTAGCAAATCATTATTGTAATTGTTGTAATTTTAAAAAAGATAGTATATTATGTAACAAACTTTATAAACGCATCTTTAGTCACGAGTTTATTTAAGCACGAGCGGAACGAAGCGAAGCGTATATTTAAAAATAAGTTGCTAGAGAACTTTATAAATGTGCTGCATACTATGCTTTTTCTACGACTTCAAATTAAGACCACAAGTATCCAAATTTAGAAAGTGCGCAAACAAATCGTTTTCAGAAAATGAAGTAATTTGCCTTAGCTGTTGTTTCTGGTACCTTTTTGATTTCAGGTGGAGTGCTTATGAAAATGCCTTCTTTTTCAGAAATGTTTTTATCCTGCTTCGTTGACACATATTAAACAATGCAGTTTATTCCAGCAATGCCCGATACCGGTTTGAAATGGCAAATAGTGACAAGAATAAATGTTCCTATTCAAAAACCAACTCGATTTCAGACCGTTTTTAGCCAAGCCGTGTTAAATGAACACGAAAATTGCCGAAGACGTGACTAATGAGACCGAACGCATCTTCGGCCCATGCTTAATGACCCCGAAGCCACGGCTTATGAAGCTGTAATTAAAACAGCGCGCAACGCCGTGCCTTTATGTTCACTGAATAAGGTGTTAGGTTTGGGAGTAGAAAAAAAAATGCAGCTAATCGAAGGACAGTTTCATTAATTTTGAGGGTGGTGTTCGCTAAAATCGTTAAATAAGGTTCACAATTTGCCATGATTGTTTTTGGATATTTTTAATTTGAATTTTCTCTTGTTTAACAGTAAATTATTTCCTTTATTGTGTCGGTTATATCAGGTTTAGGTGGCTTCTTAGTACTGATAGTTTCAGTGGAGCATAAATGTCAAAAACACAACATTATAGAAAGACTTATCGTCTATTGTTCGTACACTGCTGATATATCTAATTCCAATTAATGGATTAATATGAAAATATTTAAAGTCTCTGTAACTAATAATATTGGTAGTAGTATAATTTTGAGCTTGTCCCAAAATAGGCATCAATTTAAAAATAAGAATGGATTAACAAATCACATACGCACATTATCTGGTATATTTAACACAGATTTTAGACACTTTAGGGAAATTTTAGGACGACGTCGTTCAAACAAATCTGGCCTGGTTCACTACAATATTTAATAACTGTTAGTAGTTTATTTAAAAAAATTAATCCGACGTTTATATAAATGATTATGATGGTATTAAGAGTGGCTCTGTAATGTTTTTGTTAATTATTTTGCCGCCTTATTATCAGAATGGGTCACACTTTTTGACATTTGAAAGCCGCTTCTTATACGAGAATCATTTATGAGCGCGCTTTATATTCAACAAGATGCATTTGAACTTAATACCAGACAGCTATTCCACATAGCATAACGAAGTTTTCCTTTTTGAACTTTACTCCTACTTCAAATTCAGCAAAAATAGTTTTGTCAACTCGTGTGTGTAATGGAAGACGCGGCACAGATCCTTTGTCTTGCAATCATTACGAGATGGATTCGAGATGATCTCATCTGCCATCTCTGCCATCAACGATCCAAGCTCATGATGCATTTTCCAAGTTAGGGAGGTGAAGGATTTATTGCCAGAACACTATAAATTCTAATTTACACCTAACTCTGCGCTGTTTCGCTGTGAAGGGGCAATTTGTAATTTGCTTTAGATCAGAAGATGGCGGTTTATTTAATTACACGCTGTAGATCATAACCTTTGAGTCACAGTGAATTTTTTAAAACAAGAATACACGCCTACACAATATTTCATTATTCTCTAATTAGGGTAACATATATTCTAAACTTCATGAAATATAAATAAAATCTCTGAAATGTGGAGTACGGTAAATAATTTTCTGTGCTTATATTCCCGAGAGTACACACAAACATGAAATAGTGACGGCTAGGTTAGGAAACTGTTATTTTATTAATCAAGTCAACCACATGGACCTTGTTCAGATTGTTGGAAACTAAATCCACAACACATTTGTGAAAGTTGAGAAGTGCTCAGTTTCATACAAAGTATGACAAGTTGGATGTAGATCAAGTTTTGTTATTTGAATTATTTACGTGCCCTACATTAATAGTGGGATGTCACTGCCAACATAGATAAACCTATTCAACTAATAAGCAGAGCCGCTAGCTTAAGAACTGACACTTTACATAAAAATCAGTTGGTAAAAAAAACAGATTTATAAATTAGACATCACATTAAGCATATTTTGAAGGAGCTGATAGTCTGAACTAAAAAAAATAGTTTAAAGTAGACATTATGTAATTGTTTTTCGAAACACCGACGACTGTCAGTCCAGATGTTGTATTTTGGTATATTTTTTTTTTAATTAATTTTGATTATTAAATTTAAATATGGACGTATATGAAAGGATTACAGTTACAAATCACATATGTTTAAAAAATTGTGGCGTCAAACTGGACTGAAATTTAATTTGCTCCGTTTTTCAGCAAATCTATTATTTTATATTTTTAGGCACCCATCCAACACTGAGTCAGAATAATTTCATTATTATTACGTTTGTATGTATCTATATATTTTTAATAAACCATTAAATTAAATTACTCCAAACGTTCAAAACTATTTTGTATTTTACATTTTGTATGCACGATAAACATAATAAAACTGGCACGTCATATGAACGTATTTATTAATAAACAATTTTTTATATAATTATTAACATGCTATTATGCAATTATAATCTCTGATGGCATCTAAATAATCTTTTATTTTTTATTTTTCTATAAATGTACCTAGAATTTTTCCCAAGTTTTTCATGTGTGGTCCACATTTCAAATGGTAAATAATAATTTGATGACTAAAATAACAAATATTCAAATTAATACTAAATATCAAGAAACAAACATATCAAACTCACTAAAAAGTAATGACAGTAAGTAATTGAGTTTTTCATAACAAAATTTTGTGATGACGGCATCAACATTTGACAATAACGCGTATATTGTTTGGATAGGTGCAATGTCGCCACAACGTTCTCCAAAAATTATAAGATTTAATTTGGCGAATTTTATTTTTTTTATGATAAATTAAAATTAAGTTATGTATGTAATCTTAAAGTAAAGGTAAAATATGACAATATACGGTCAACAGACGACAGATAGACAGACAGACAGACGCAAAGGAGGAAACCTAATTTTTTATACTCTAGGATTCATGAAACGTCGAGAAAACATGAAAATGTCTGCTGGCCGGATGAACCATATTACAATACTCCTTAGCTTACGCTCGGGAAGTAAAAAGTGGGGTTTATAAATAGCACTAAAACACTCAAACACTCAAAATACGTTGCAAATGCACTTTATATGAGGAAGATTATTTTTAAAATCATTTTAGTAACCAAATAACTATAGCGTGGATAACTTGAATTAGAATTCCGGAAAAATATACATTCACGGAATTATTGGAACCTATACAGAGAAAACTCTCTGAATTTCGGTTTTTAAATTTAAAAAATTCTATATTTTTAGATATATATATTTCAAGAATAATATTGGTTTACCTTTTATTTGTGAACCGTTTTTTTTTGTTGTGTGTTTTTTTTACTAATACAGATTTTTGATCACTGGAATTGTATTAATAAATGCTGAGCCTATGAAAATTCAACTACATTTTTTGATAACTTAGTGATGTAAAACCGACAGTTCGTGACACAAGCTGACAAGTGTGACAAGGTATTAGAATTGTGCGGACGTACTTTTAGACGCATTTTTTTCTAGTAGTTTTTTCCTGACAACCCACTATTAAGTTTTTTTAACACACGTTAATATTTCTGTTGAAACTATTTTCGCGTAAGAATAACAAGTAACTGACGTCGTGTATCCACGCGGCAACAATTCCTAATTGAATTTCTACCAACTTCATTATCCAATTACGTTAATTTTCATGAATAATCTGTGCCGTTGATTTGTTCATTAGTTCTCAACTCAATTAACAAACTTTAAAAAAACAACTAATGGAATGCAAATTCTTAGTATGGAACGAATGCCAAGTAGCGCTGTATTGTATGTATGTACCTACTTACTTCCTTCACAACGTGTTGCAGACATGTGTTTCTTGTTCAGATCAAATTGTTTTATTGTCACTTAAATGCTAATAGTTTTATAGCTGAAACCACCGCAAAGTGCTGCAATATAAACAACCTAATATAACCACAACGTGTTGCTGTTACTAACTACACGAAGATATTAAAGTGCAGCTGCATACAAAGGAGAATTTAGGAACTTACCTACAATTGAGTTCATAATACCCGTTTGCTTTGAACTGAAATTTTAAATGAGAGTTTGTATGGCAGAATGGTCGCCAATATCAATTGGTAACAGTGTAGAAAAACTTAATAAAAACTGTTGTAGTATTTCAGACATTGTTCTATAATTAAGTTTAAATTTAATAAGTAATAACGAATAAATAACATATTGAATAACTAACGCTGAAACATTGCTAAAAATTGAAAAAAACACGTATTTCTAGATATCAAAGCTTAGAAGCTTTTTATTTTTCTGAGACCCAAAAATAAGTGTTTCAGGCGAAACAATGATTTCATCGATTAGAAGTTTACTAATGTGTCGATGGTTCCGACATAGTTGGTAAAATGCGTCAATCGTTGTTAAATAAGTTTATTAATTCATATAAATATGTGAAAAAGAAAAAAGTTTTCGTCTGATATCATAGATTTAGAAGTGGCAGTGCGTAAACAAAGTCGGTATGCTGAATAGCGTGAGAATGAAATGAAACACCAGGTATATATTATCTAAAGAAACACGAAACAATGTATGTGAAACTGCACGACTTCCACAAAATCTTAGTCACACTCTACAATTCGGGTGGATTCCATTTATCACTCGTGAAAATCCTTCATACTCAGACGAAATGGATACCGTTCCATGTTTGTACACATTACTGTTCTCGTATTCGTGAAACGTTTTAAATGCTTTTCTGTACTCTATTCAATTTAGAATACACAATTATTGTCTACTAGTGATTTTTTATCGGAATATTTATGTTACAAATGCTTTAAAACTGGAATTCATAACTTTATTACTTCCCGAGCGTAAACTAAGGATGTATTGTATTGTGATCGAGTCCATCGGGCCACTAGCTCTTTTCACATTTTCTCGATGTGTTACGAGTGTTATGACCCCTAAAGTACAAAAGTATAGGTCTCCCGTTTCTGTCTGTCTACCCGCTTTCCGTATGAATTTTTGTTAGACAGATAATCTCCAAAACTACCGGACCGACTGTTGTCAAATTTTATATGCGTATTATGAATATCACGTAGATGGTAAAACGCTAACCAAACTTTGTTTAATCGTCCCTACCAGCAATGTGATGACATCACCTCAAAATTGTATATAGTAAATGGGAATTAATTAAATATCCACAAAAAAAATTTAAATAAATTATTGCATCATTGCATGTAAAATAAAAAGCACATATTTGTATGTGCAATAAATATGTTCAGAGAATTTGACAACGGAAAAATAATGGAAAACTTAGGGAAACGCCAAGAATGGCAAACACGTCACACTAATTCAGATCCTTGACGACTCACTCCCGAATCACTCTAGCACCTGTTGGCAGTATAGTAGCTAGTATTCAGTTCGATAAAAGATAATAAGTAGGCTTCATTTTCAACAATGTTTCTTGAGAACTTTGAACTTCTTTTTCATGTCGTTTTCAACCGAAAAAGCACGGTTCTATTCTGTAACACTTTTACGGTTACATAAAGGGAGTGTTAAACGATAAAATGTGGAATATCATTCATAAACTTGCACAATTTTCATATTTAAGGAAAGAGAAATTTGTGTAAATTTGCGAAGTGAACGAACGCTTTTAAATGAAGTTATACTGGTGGGAGACAAGATATATTTCTCCTATTATAGTGCAAATAAAACTATTTGTGTAAGTAAAGCGAAGCCGAGTTTTGAACGAGCGAGTTAGAGAGTTTTTGCTTGTATTAAATACAACATTTTTCCTACGACTGTGACTGCAATAAAAGAATAGTAATAATAGATACAAAACCGAACAGAGCATTTTATTGCAATATTTATTTATACATACCTATTTATAGTAAAATTGAACAGTTTGCAAAGGAGTATATAGGTAATACTTTACAAAAAATCAAATTCCAGACAAATGATGTACACTAACAAACAAATAACAAACGAAGTTGCAAGAGATTAGGTTGGAAAAAGTCGGTTACGCAACAACAAGCCAAGCATTTCTACTTTAAAAACTAAAAAGGTAGAATTTTAAAAATCATATTTTAGTTTTAGTTTCACTTCAAGCGTTTATTTTTTAATAATTTGTAAAAGCGCTTTGAAATCCCATCTATCTGATCTTAATACTCGTTTCGCTTTAAGTCTGAGAAAGCACAGCTGCTTCATTAGAAAACGAACTTTTATTTAAAGACTGAACATTGTCGATCTTCCACTGTCGCATGTGAATTGTTTGTCGCCTTTTCTTGTTAGATACTTTAGAACTAACCTCGTGCTGTGATTTCTAACTTTTCCAAGTGGAACAATATGCATAAGTTGAAGGGAAACTTCTCAATGACTGATTCCAGTCTACTTCGGTTTCAGTTGTTTTCACCTGTTGTATTTGTCTAATCTTACTCTAATGCGTAGAGGCTGACATAACATTAGTATTTAGCAACGTTGCTGACTTGCTTTAGACATGTTATAAAATAGGGTTGGAATTGAAAGATCTAGATCAAATCGTAATTTTGATACTATGAAAAAAACTGATTATAAAGTTAAACAAATTAAACAGTTTTTAAATAAAGTAAAAAAAAAATATAGACTTATTTTTAAGAACATCTATCCGATGAAATAAAAACTAGGAATAGATTATAAAACTGCCGATAAAGAGATACTTGAATTTGTTTACAACGTAATAGTAATAACGTAATAACATTGCTATGTGTCCAAAATTGCAGGAAAATGGAGCAAAACATTTTTTATTTATTTATAAGGCATTCTGTATAAAAAGTTCTAAAAAACAGGCATATAATATAAAGAACATATTATGTACAGAATCATGCTATTCCACACAATTTAAATGAAATTTACTTCACAAAATTTTGAGATGACGTCCTCAAATTTTTAAATTAAAAGTTCTTTCTGAGATTCTAGTTCTGAAATCTAATAAAATAATGAACAGTCAGGTGGACGATAGACAGGCAGAAACGAGAGACATGTCTTCATATTCTAAGAGCACCAAAACTGTAATATTACACATTTCATGGTTTTTGATATATATATATATATGTGGTAATTTTTTCTGTAACAAAAATAAAAATCTGTATATGAAATTGAAACATAATATTCCAAAAAGTTTGCCCATATTAGGATAAGGTTTTATACAAGGTGATTGCGAAATATATACAAAAAAATGGGGAATAGCTCACAATATGATTATGTCACTGGGTAAAATTCACGGTCCTAAGTGGTAGCAGTGTCTAGAAAAAATGATTTGAAATTAAATGTAAATTGTTATACGAGCCGCTGGTAATGTTTCGTGACCTACTACAATGAATGGGACCGAGCGACTCGGATTAAGAACCAAAAAAGTGACTTTATCATGCACTTTTTTAATCGCAACGTAAAAAACACGAAAAGGGCCAGTCATCATCGAGCGGTCGATGAAATCGGTTTATGGTGCAGTTTTCCCATGCAGAGTGTGTCGATATGGTAATTGGTGTGCGCGAACATTTGCATCAGCGGTACGGCATCTCCGAGATCATGGTACCTTCAACCTCAAACTCACGATCGTGGCCGTGATAGGACAGAAAGAAGAAGTTGGATTTTCACAGCTTGTAGTGCATTCTAGATTAAAAGAACACGGCCACATCCATACCATGTTGACAAAGTGCGGGGTTTGGAGCCCGATGATTGTCTACATGCTCGTCAACAAGTACGATTTCAAGAGACGGTTTTCGATAAATGTGTATCGGTTGGATGAAACAGTTAGTTTGTGGAAATCAACAGTGTACAGAAATTATCGAAGAGCTTCAACAACAAGTGAAAGTGGCAGCCGCTACTCCGTTGTTTTTTTTTTTTTTTTTACCTATAAAGAAACATCTTGCGACTCTCTGACGCCTGTATGGCTAGTCAAGGACAACATTTTCAACATTTCTTGTAAAAAGGTAGTAGCATTCTAAGTTACTCTTATTTTTGTTCCAATAAACAATGTAACATCGTTGTCGCAAAGACCAAACATCTGTCAGAATCAAAAGCTGATCATCATAAAGCATTACCAAAAAATTTTCGCACTGACCTTTAACGATGAATGAATAAATGAATGAACGAATGATAATCAGCAAAAACTCGGTTTTACTTTTAATTGAAACTGAAAGTGTTTACGTCGTTTTTATTCGAACGTTTTTCCAACTCTGTTTACAAGGTGGCTCAGTGCCTTCGTATTGAGGGTGGTTCATGGGGGTTTTGCACCATTCGATTTTTAATTTGTTTTTTCTATATTTCGACTCTACTAGGGTGGGGGATGCCGTGGTTAAAATTATTGCACATATTTTGCAGTCACCCTGTATATTATATATTCATCGTTCTCATCATCAGAAACATGAAAATCAAGGTCGCTCCGTGAATCTGAGTCCTCCAAAAAAATTACAAATGGCGGAATATTTTCTGGGTTTAAAATGCTCATTTCTTTACGTCAATCCGCTTATATAGTGGTGAATGCTATTTTGCCACATTTTTGGCGTAAGATGCTCTAAAACTTCGATGCACAAGTGGGTAACACGATCTCATGGACATGTTTGTTGTAGAATCATTTACAATGTGCCCATGCCAACTCAATTGGGTTGTACTGGTAATGGTAAGGTGGCAATCGCAACACATGAATGC